TATATTGTATCTCTTACTAGACTGTGAGCTCTTTGAAGGGAGGGGCTATTTTTGGCCTTTCTTCATATACTCCATATTTAGTACAGTGTCCAGCAATAGATATTTAATAAATGTTTGTTAAATTGACGTGGTTGGCTAATGAGGTACCTGGTAATAAAGCACATACAATATCCTCTACCTGGTATCAACCCACGTGGAGGCTTGGTGAGCCTGCTTCTGGATATGTGTGATGGAGGGACCCTTCCCCTCACAAATATACTTTAACTGTTTTACTTCAGCTTATTCCATGGTGACAAAAACATTTTAATTGGCTGCTGAGCCTGAACTGAGTATGCATACAAAAATCTTGAAGAGATGAAAGCCATCTTTCTGCCTGGTGGCTTTCAAGTAAGGAGGAAAAATGTTGTGTTCTGCTAGGTGGTTAGATAGCAGAAGGAGCAGGAGCTACTGTGGCTGCCTTATGTCTTTACTCAGGCTTCCATGTGGTCATGAATGCATGGCACTACAATTTCTCCAGTTCCTGCTAGATATACTTTTTTTCTGATGTAAAGTGAATTCCATCTGAGATGAAACAGATGACCTATGAACTCCAAAAGGTTGTAAGGGCCACCAGAAGACTAATAACTGGGGTCTGTTTCAGAATCTGCCAGTAACCGCAACAGCTGAATCCAGTGAAGAGTCAGCTCTAAGCAGCAACCAGTTTGATCCAGCTCAACAGTGAATCAACATGGCAGCTGGTTGTGCCCTGTCCAGAAGTGATCTTGGTGAGGTGAATGTTAGTCATCATATTAAGTTTGAGTCCACTATCCCCAGGAACCAAAATGGTGGAAGAGAATGTGCTCCTAGTTTGGAAAGTTGTACTTTCATTTTTGCTATATACCCTCAGGAAATACCCCATTTGCACAATATAGTTGATGTTGATTGGTTAATTGATATTTAGGAGAGGCCAAATGGTCAAATTAATATTGGGGAGATACTAGCTATTGATTGATATGGAGGGAAAACAACAGATGGGAGTTTGTGAGCAGTTGTAGCAGAGAAACCATCTTCTCACCTCTTAAAGTTATTCCTTAGAAGTATCTCAAAGAGGAGAGCAGTATCTAGCTATGCTCTGGGAGTGCAATCTGCTAGTCTGAATATGGGTTAGGAGCACAAGTTCCAGAGCCATTGTGCTACATTAAGCACCTCCTATATGCAAGGTACCATGTCAGCCATTGGGGATACAAAGAAAGAAAGAAAATCATCTTGGCTTCTATGAGCTCACACTTTTTTCCAGGCAGGGCATATGGACTTGGGGAGGAGAGAATACAATGTATATGCAGTTTGAAAATACATAGCACATAAGCTCTGGACTTTCCAAACTCATACTTGCACTGACAGATTGTTCAAGAGAAAGATTATTGTTTCTTCCTCCAGGATTTCAAGAGTAACTCTGAGAGGATGGGGGAGGGAAGTGGTTGTCTAGTGCTAGGTCTGGTCAACAGCATATTGGGGATTTTGTCAGGACGTGGAAAAGAGTAACATGGAAGGAGTTGCAATTTGCATCATTGAAAGGAATTGGTTAATCAACAAAATCCATGGATCTAAAAATATTTGAGTTAAATGTAAATCGTATTAAACAATTTTAGGTGGTTGTACTGATGTTCAATGTTAAGTTTTCAATTAAAATGTAATTTCCAAACAATGAAGTCAATTGAAACTGTTTTTTTTTTCTTTTAAAAGAGAAAAAGGTGCACCTTGGTTAAAAGGAATATTAACTTGAAGAAATGGTGGGTTAGCATTGCACATAAAAGATTTTACCTGTATGGAAATTCAGAAACCTGATGAATAATGTGCTGAGGAATATTTGGATGCAAAATAATGTGGAGAGAATACTGTTGGCCAAAAAGTCAATTTAAGAAATGGATCATTTTGTTTCTCATATAGATCACAAAACTGATTGGAGATCCAACATGACTGTGACTTTGTATTTCTACTACCCACACATCTATAGGAAGTCTCTTTCTGCTAAAAAGTAGCTTTTGGTGATAATATCATCTTTTAACAAAAAGGCCATGCCCAATGAGATCTGTAGGAATTGCCCCTATGCCTTCTCTGATGTAACCTGCTTTTATATAAGTAGGTGGGTTTGAAATTAGCCAAGTGGTCACATTCAAAGAGTAGTCATTAATAGTTCAAAGTCAAGTTGGACAAAAGGCCCTTTTGAAATTCCCCAGGGATCTTTGCTTGATTCTCTACTCTTTAAAATTTTTACCAATAACTTGGATAGAGGCATATATTGTAAGGTGGTGTAGTGGATAGAGTGCCAGGCCTGAAATTAGAAAGGCTCATCTTCCTGAGTTGAAATCTGACCTCAGACACTTACTAGCTATGTGACTCTGGGCAAGTCACTTAACCCTGTTTGCCTCAGTTCCTTCCTCTGTAAAAATGAACTGGAGAAAGAAATGGCAAACTACTCCAGTATTTTTACCAAGAAAACTCCAAATAGGGTCACAAAGAGTCAGACATGACTGAAATAACTGAACAACAAAAACAATAAATCATAAGCTTATCAACTATGCAAATGTATCAAAGCTTGGAATAGAGACTAAGACTTTGGTTGACAAAATTAAAAAAAAAACTCTCGACAAACCAAACTGAATAAGATTAAGTGTAAAGGGATAAATGTAAAGTCTTCTATTTGGGTTAAGAAAATCAACTTTACAAGTACAAGGTAGCCAGAAAGCAGTTTGGAAAAAAAAATAGGGGTTTTAATGATACACAAGCTCAGAAGTCTCTACTGCATGTCGGGCACACATAGTCTGTTTGAACATTTGGGATGGAGATGTCTCTGGATTTGTACAGCTTACATTTCCTTTGTGCTACTGAGATTCTGCTTTGCTCATAGAGCCCAGTACCTTCTTTGATATGGGCGCCATGCTGGGCAATCCTGTGCTAGCGTCTCGCATGTCTCACAATCAGTACTAAAGTTCTTCAGAAAAACCTTGAGATCGTCCTTGTACTGCTTCTTCTGACCACCATGAGAGTGGCCTTGTGCAAGTTCTCTGTAAAGTATTCTTTTAGGCAAACGTTCATTTGGCATTTGGGCTACATGGCCAGCCCATTGGAATTGTGCTTTCTGCAGTAGAGTTTGAATGCTTGGCAGTTCAGTTTGAGACAGGACCTCAGTGCCTGGTACCTTATCTTGCCAGGTGATCTTCAGAATCTTCCTAAGACAATTCAAGTGGAAGTGGTTCAGTTTTCTGGCATGGCACTGATAGATTGTCCAGGTCTCGCAGGAATACAACAGTGAAGTCAGTCCAATGACTCTATAGACCTTTAGTCTGGTAGGTAGCCTAGTACCTCTCCTCTCTCATACTTTCTTTTGGAGCCTCCCAAATGCTTGGTTAGCTCTGGCAAAGCATGCACTAACCTAATCATCTATGTTTACATCCCTGTAAAGTATACTGTCAAGGTAAATGAACTTGTCTACAGCATTCAAAGTTTCTCCATTTACCGTAACCAATGGTTTCACATATGGATGGTGAGGTACTGATTGGTGAATGACCTTGGTTTTCTTAGTGTTGATTGTCAGTCCAAAATTAGCACAAGAGGTGGAGAATTGATTCATACTTTGTTGCATCTTAGCTTCTGGGGGTGCATTAAGTGCACAATCACCTGTAAATGAAAAGCTGAGCACCACCTTTTCCTCCACTTTGATCTTGGCTTGTGACATTTTCAAGTTAAATAGCTTACCATCAGTGTACTAGCTGACCTTGATGCTATTTTCATTCTTGTTGAAGGTGTCTGACAACATTGTGAGAACATCACACTAAAAAGATTGGGAATAAGTTGACAGCTCTGCTTTGCAATTAGTGACTAGAAAAGCAGGAAAGTGTTATCCTTCATCCATAACCTATCCAAACAAGCCATCATGAGATTGGCATATAATACTGATGAATTTCTCCAGACAAATTTCACCATGATTTTCCACAAACTTTCATTACTGACAGCATCAAAGGCTTTCATCAGGTCAATGAACATTGTGTACAGACCTCTATTCTGGCATTTCTCCTGGAGTTGTCAGGCAGAAACATCATGTTGATCATTCCTTGGACTACTCTAAAGTCACACTGGCTCTCAGGCAAATGACCATCTTCCAAGTGAAGAATCAGCCAATTAAGGAGGACTCTGGCAAGAATCTTGCTGGCAATGACTGAGAGATTCCCCTGTAATTGTCGTGGGACAGCCTGTTTCCTTTTCTTTTATAGAGATAGAAAATGGAGTCATCCTTGATCTCTGGGGGGATAGCTCCTTTTGCCATATAATCTGGAAGATTTCAGTCAGTTTCTGTATGAGAAATAGATCCCCGCATTGTAGATCTTTGCTGGGATGGAATCACTGTCAGGTACTTTGTTACTCAAGAGTATTGCATTCATTACCTCTTCTTCAGTTGGAAGTTTGGCTGAAGAAGTATTAACTGCAACCTGAGGCATATACTCAATGGCTTCAACATTGGTTGATGATGGTCTGTTGAGAATAGTATGAAAGTTTTCAGTCCACCTGTCCAGGATCATGTCCTTATCACTGATCAGTGTGACTCCATTACTGCTGAGTAATTGAGATGCACCACAGGTCTTTGGCTCATAAATAGTCTTGAGGGCATTGTAGAAGTCGTTTGGGTTGTTGCTCTTGGTGTAAAATTGAATCTCATTTTACTTCTTCCTGAGCCAGTCTGTGATCAGTCCAGTATTCTGCCCACACATTGCCTTTGTTACTCTCACATCCTGCCCGTCTCTTCTCTTTATAATGATGTTGTCTGTTGAATGCCACTGCTTGCTACAAAGGTGCATCCACGACATTTTATTGTGTTTAGGTAAAAGGAAGGCAGTGTTGGTGATAGAAGGTCCTAAGACATACAAGTCTTCAGTAATAAGTGACCATCGCTATTGTTTCTGATTCTGTTCCTCCCAAGCACTCCCTACTATGTCTCATAGTCTGTGCCTACCCTGATGTTAAAGTCATCCAGAATTATGTTTGTCCTCTTTTGATACATTGGTGATGAGGGGCTCCAGATTTTCACAGAAATTTTCTTTGACCTCATCAGGGTTCGTCATTGTGGTAGCATACCCACTGATGATGGTGGCATGGCTTTTTCCTAGAAGTGGCAGTTGCATTGTCCTGAGTCTGTCATTCACTGTTTTGGGGAAGTATACAAGTTTGCTGACCAGATTAGATCTGATTTTGAGATCTATGTCAGTTTCATGGGACTCCTCATCACAGCAGCCACTCCAGAAAAACGTATATCCAGCTCCAACTTCGGTAAGCTGGCCTTCATTTGCAATCCTTGTTTGACTCAAGGCTGCTATTTGACTGTGGTTCCTGCTGAGTTCTCTTTTTAACAAGAGCTGTCTGTCTCTCAGATCTACTATGTTTTGTGCTGTCCATGAGTGTGCATACATTCCATGTACTGATGGTGAGTGGAATCATCTTTGCCAAAATTTTTGTACTTTTTTGTGTTCAACCATAGGATGGGATCCCTGATTACCTCAGTAAGCAGGACATGGCTGGGTGAAGCAGACAATTTTAGCGCACCTTTTCTAGTCCCTTCCTCATGCCAGGAGGTGAGCAGTGTGGTTCTTTTAAAAAAGCTGCTCCGGGGGCACATTTATTGTTAGGGGGCTGTTGAATCTCACTACTGCTTCAGTTCAGTAAGAAGATAACCACACAATCTCATCTGGCTGTCTGCAGGTTTGTGGCTACAGCTCCCAGTATATCCCCAGCTGCTGCTTCATCACTTGCCTGTTACCACAGGAACTCAGTAGGCAAAATAGTAAGATAGTAAAATAATAAAATAGAAAATATTTGATGCATCTAGGTGGCTCAGTGGATAGAGTACCAGGCCTGGAGTCAGGAAGGCTCATCTTCATGAGTTTACATCTGGCCTCAGATATTTGCTAGCTGGGTGAGCATGGGCAAGTCACTTAACCTTTTTTTGCCTCAGTTTCCTCATCCGTAAAATGAACTGGAGAAGGAAATGGTAAACTACTCCAGTATCTTTGCCAAGAAAACCCCAAATGGAGTCATGAAATGTTGCATGTGACTAAAAATGACTGAACAACCATCAAAATAGTGGATAATGGGTGATGTCTTGGCTTGCACATGAATTGGATTTAAATGAGGCAGGGTTGTGTCAAATTGTTACCCTCACTCTCTCTTCCAGAATCATCAAAGTCCAGGGGCAAGATAAAAATCAAGATGACTGATGATGGCCTGGGACGCAGTGGATGACCTTGGCATTGTTGATGTCTGACCAAGCTCTAAGCACTCCACAGCACCTGTGTTAGCCCCTTTCATGGTCTTTGGAATAAATTGTTTTGATCCACTCACTCTGCCTGGGGAAGTCTTCACCTGTTTGGGGTATTTTAATTAAACAAAGCATCAATTGTCAATAAGTTGGTGAGTTGGCATGCTCCTTAAAGAGAAAGGATAAATAAATACTGTTCAACTAGGTGGTGCATTGGAGAGAGTCCCGAGCTTGGAGTTAGGAAGACCTGAGTTTAAATATGACCTTCAGCACTTACTTGCAGTGTGACTTTAAGCAAGTCACTTAACTTTGCGTGCCTCTTTTTCCTCAATTGTAAAATGTAAAATTGCACTCCTTCCCAGGGTTCCCAGGGTCTAGAGGATCAAATGAAATATTTGAAAAACTATTAACATAGTGCCTAGCACATAATAGGTACTTAATAAATGATTGTTTCCTTCATTCCTGTTTTGAAATTAAAAATATTTTTTAAATGATATTTAAAAACATTTTTTAAAAATCCCTCCTGCCATATTGGATTCCTAATATATTTAATGACATGGTGAAACTTCTTTTAAAGAATTTCATTCTTTTCCTCAAAAGCCCTCTCTGTAAAATTAATTTTTTTAGTTATTAGCAAGCTCCTGACTTAAATCAACTCTGATTAGGACCTAGAAATCTTATGTTGACTCATTCAAAATGATATGAGAAAAGCATAAAGAATACATTCCCCACAGTTAAAGTTCACCTCATGGTTAATGTTCCTCAAAGGTCAGAAGATTGTCCCTGTGCTTTTATTTTTTTTTTCAACCTAATGGTATGCTTAGTTAACTGAAGTCCATTATCTTCATAAAAGGGCTATTCACATGTGAAAATGCTTCTTTTTTAGGCAAAGTGATACAGTATGCTGCATGGCTGCTATTTTTGGTTTTCAATATTAAATTTTATAAAACATCCTATTGATTTACTAAGAGGACCTAATAATAATTCAAGTTAATACAGTATTTTCTAGTTTTCTAGAGCCACCATGAGGAAGGTAGTATGGGTATTATTATCCTCATCTTACTGATGGGGAAAATGAGGCACAGAGAATTTCAGTGAATTGTCCAAATCACTGACTCTGACTAGTAACAGTTAAATAAACAAACTAGAAGATCAACCATAGAAATATCAATATGAGAAAAAATCTAATTTGCTGATTTTTGATGGACATTAGTCAAATTTTCTGAATTGTCACAGTCCCAAACCCATTCTCTTTCCCTTCATCTGATAAATGAAAACCTGACCATGCTTGATTATAAAACTGATTAGGGCCCTTTGACCAAAGCACTTTATGATGTAAGAGGTTTTCTTTCTCCTCGCTGAGTATCCAGATCTGGTCTTTTCCCTTTTGTATTTGTAAAATTTAAAGCAGTAGAATCAATGGAAATAGATCCCCACCAGGTCACATATTGACTTAGAAAATCACAAATTAACATTTTCTATGTTGTATTGTATTTTTATTTATTTTGTTAAATACTTTCCAACTATGTTTTTATCTGGTTTAGGCTTTACACAGAAATTTGCTATTCTTGAGGGGGCTGTGAGTTTGATACTTCTGATTTAAAGTAAGAGAAAAGATCTCTGAACTAAGTTCGTGTCTGATGAGCACCAACATAGAGAGAATAAGCATACCTGAGAGAATAAGGGAAAGGCTCAGAAGGCGCTGTCAAGGAAGCAGGTATTCAGAGACATAGTCATCATTGTCCAACCCTGAGTCGCACTCTGTGCCTGAGACTTTCAGAAGCTTTCAGTATAGCTTGACGTACAAGATCCCTCCCGCCCAGATACATATAACAAAAGAACACAAACATAGACATAGGCAAGGATGCTCAGAGACCTGTTTCCAGAGCTATGCTATCTTTTCACAAAGTGGACACAACTGGTTTCTGAGATCTCTTTTCTTCCAACATGCAATTTCTTAGTGACAGTATAAGAACCTGTTTAGGAGCCTCATGTCAGAGATCCTGATGCTCTTTCATTTTATATGTTGTCTACAGGAAGTTTTAGGATGAGAAAAAGGCTGATATTGTTAGAACTGGTGTTCCACTGCTCACAGCTCAGAAGTCCTGCCTCTCTGGCATTGGCAACATCTGAAACCCCGAAGAGCATATTTGTCCAATATATTAACATGATTTGAAATATCATGGTGGAAGTGCTAATAATCCAGTAAGTAATCTTCTGCCATCTCCTCTTCTTATCCCCCACAACAATGGCACATCTTAGTCCTACCACTCTAGAGTTTATGACTTCAGTCGGCATCAACATTTAGTAAGTGACAGAACTGGGTCCACTTAGGTCCTGATTTTCAGGTGAGCATTCTTTTCTCAATGCCAAGTTGGATTATGGTGAAGAACAATGTGACATGTGTCTACTGCCCTTTGGTGTAATCACATTCCAAGGGAAAATTCTTAGTGGAGGAGCAGGAATGATGATAACTCAGGAAACTGCCCTTAGCAAAACTGTAAAGTTTGATTTGAAGCATTCCATCATCTTCCCCTTCCATTTGTTGTCCTGTCCATCAACCCATCCCAATCACCTACTTCTATGCCTCATTCTGGGTGTGCCTTTTGTTTTCTCTTTGCCACCACCAACACTTACATTCACCATGTCCCATTCGTGCAAGAAATTGTGAGGTGACTAATATGATAAATTTAATTCAAGCTCTTTCTGGTGGATAATGGACTAATATACTACTCCTTTCAGCTATTATATTTGCCTTTATGAGGCATTCATCTTTCCTGAAAGGAGAGATATATGGTAGAAATTCTAGGCACCTGGACAGGAGCATATGGGGAAGAGAGGGATGTCAAATGTATATTTTTCAAAGGGGGGTGTGTGCTTCAGGAGCTCCTCAACTTCCATCGACCCATCTCTTCTGTCTACCTTCCAGCCTTATGCCAGAACTATAATTACACATCAAATGTTTGCTTGGTAGAATAACTAAACTTCCTTGCACCTTACTTTCATTATCTACCAGACGAGAGAATAGCACTGATCTCTCTGATCTCTCAAGAACACTGGGGAAGCTAGGTGGAACACCAGATAAAGTACCAGGACTGAATCAGGAAGACTCATCTTCCTGAATTCAAATCTGGCCACAGATGACACTTACTAGTTATGTGACCTGGGCAAGTCACTTCACCCTGATTGCCTCAATTTCCTCATCTGTAAAATGAGCTGGAGAAGGAAATGGCAAGCCTCTCCATTCAGTATCTTTGCCAAGAAAACCCAAAATGGAGTCATGAAGAGTTAGACATGAATGAAACGAGTGAACAACAATAACAACAAACATTATGAGAATTAGCATTCCTCTAGTAATTCAAAAAGAAAAGACACTGTACCAATACAGAATATATGGGGACTAATTAGCCCGTGTATTTGTAGCTGTGCTGGGAGGAGTACTATGGAAACCAAACATCAGAACACTAAACTCTGCTATGGCATAATCCTGTTGTGCAACAAAATACCTTTCATACCATAGAGGCTGGGGCTGTTGGCCTGGCTTCATTGCCTGGAGCTTGTTTCTGTTTGAGGGAGAAGAGAGCATTGGAAATTCCTGTTATACAAGGTAATATCTTTTATGGACAAGAAAGGGTGTGTCTCAACTTAGCCAACATCGCCATAAGCCCCTGCCTTTGTCATTGCCGCTTCCTCCACTATCCCTACATTGGCTTTAATTTAATATTTCTAGTGGATTTCTTCGAAGACATGTCCAATGTAGCTGAGCTTCTCTTGGCACTGGGGACACGATCTGCCACAGAGCTTGATCATGGACATTCTCAACAGGTTTCTCACTTACTTGCTTTTCAATAGCAGAAAAGTTGCGTCTGATTGCAGGTGAAACAAACCCAAGATCTCAAAATGGCATCTCCTCCTCTTTGTCCTTGACAGATCAGTCAAAAAGTGTTTACAGAGCACATGGCACATTTGAAGAACTCAGTCAACTCTCATCCCTCTTAATACTTTGCTTATCCTTTTTAAAAAAATTGAACTTAAATACGAAATAAGAAAACAAAACAAAACATTGCCATGTTCCCAGCAGAACACAAGCGAGGATTAAAAATGTAAAGCAATAAATTTCCGCTTAAAGAAATCCCATATAATAAACACTGCACATTGTGTTCAGAGCTGTTATCTTTACTTCCTCGTAGGCTTTATATTGTTCTTTAGTGTGCACTTTTTACTTTGCTCTTTATTCCCCCTTTTTCTCCCCCCTTCCAAGAAGGCAATTAAGCACAGATATATACATATATATGTCTATATATGTGTCTATACATACATGCATACATACATATATGTATACACACACATGCATACACATTCCTGTATGTACAATATACATACAAACATATATACATATAGACAGACACATACACATACATATACTTAGATTTCTATAATCATACACATATATATTCATATGCATCTATGTAAGACCATGTTATACTTGTTTGTCCTCTGTTTCTCTGAAGGTGGACATAAGTCCAAGTCTTTCCATGTTTTTCTAAATTCATCAACTCATCATTTTCTACACCACAGCAATATTACAACCATATACTGTCCAGTTATTTTAAATAGTCTAAAACAATATTGATTAATATGGTTGACATATAGTATAGTTTCCCTATTTTTCTCTTTTGATTAAATCTATTTTGCTTCTCCTTCTTCTAAACACTTCAATGACTAGACCCTTGTTGCTTCCATTTCTTCAATATCTCTTAACAATCTCTCCATCAACACAGCCACAACCCTGGTTTGGGCCCTTATCACTTCTTCTCTGTTATATTACAATAGCCTTCTAATTGGTATCCCTGCCTCAAATCCTACCCCATACCAATCCATCCTCTGCACAATTGCTAAAGCCGTTTTCATCAAGCAGAGATCTGATGGAGGGGAGTTCAACTATCTGATACCTGCTGAAGCTCTCTTAGTGTCCTAAGCAGAGCATTGATAATTTTTTCACTTGCCTTAATAATAATTTGTCTTCTTCGACAGGTGGGGAAGTGAGTAGGAGAGTCACTTACTATTCTAGACCCAATTCTGACCAATAATGAACTGGTTGCTCATTAAGGTAATATGGAAACCTTTTGGAGAAAATGATCATTCAATTTTTAAAAATTTATAAAAGAGGAGCGAAAAGTCATGTTTAGTCTGACACTTGCCCTTGGTTATAAAAGACTTTTCTTTCAAAGAGTTCAAAGAAAGGATAGGTAGGATCACAGGGCTATAGACATGAGAGCTAGGCAAGAAATCTAGAATCTTAGAGACCATCTTACCTAACTTCTTCATTTTACAAATAAAGAAACTGAGGTCCTGGGACATTAAACAGCTTTCCCAGGCTCACCTCATTGTCTTCTGCTTTCAAGAGGAATTAGCAGAGCCAGGATTCAAACTAATGCTTCTGTCTACAAATTGGTGCTCTTGAGATTACACTGGTGTAGTAGATGATCTTGGAGAATTTCCATGACTGAAACATTCATTTGACTACAGCCAACCTGGTGAATACTTTATCTAAACTTAGCTAAGTTGGCCCCTGGACAAGAGACATACAGTCATTGATGCACATGGCATGTATTATTGTGTATTATATTTATTTAATAATAATAATAACAGCTAACTTTTATAAAGTTCTTACTATGTGCCAAGTGCTTTATATTTATTATCTCATTTGACCCTCACAACAACACTACAAGGTAGTTGCTATTATTATCTCTATTTTATAGATGAGGAAACTGAGGCAAATTGAGGTTAAGTGACTCACCCAGGATCACACAGCTGATAAGTATCATAGATTGAACTTAAACTCAGATCTTTATAATTCCAGCTGGGCCTGGTGCTCTATCCTTTTAGGTTTATCTTCTTTCCTCTCTAGTCTGTTAGCTCTCTGAGGGCAGGAACTATGTCTTGTTTATTGTATTTTCCAACCTCTCTTTCCACATGCTCCACTGCATTACCTACCAGGGAACTCTACACACATTTGGGGTTGGATCATTTGAGGAGGATTTAGCTGGACTTGGTTGATAGCCCTTTAAATGATTGAATATGAGTATATCTTCTTTAAGTCTTCTCTCTAGCTTAGTTCATTCAACTGATCTTTTTACAGACGACAAGGGCAGTGAGATGGAAAGGGGGTTGAAAGTGACTGGATTCTATCTTTGATCTATAATTAGCAGATTATTACAAAAGCCCTAATGGAAACAGAAGCTACTCTCACTGTTTTCTGCAAGATGAAAGTTGGGTTTATACTGAAGATCTTGAAGAAAATAGTGAGGGAAGCTTCTGTTTTCATTGGGACTTTTGTAATGATCTGCTAATTATGGATCAAAGACAGCTGAGCAACCAATTAGTACAAAAGGAAAGGAAAGCCCCAGAAAGAGTGGGAAAGTCCTCAATAAATGAAGCTATACCCTTTGAGACATCCACTATTCCCTTCTGGTTATTCATATGAAGGAAAATAATACTGGTACAAGAAGAATAGAAAAAATTATGAAGACAATGAAATTATGGGCAAGAAACCAAGGGTCTTAAAAGCAAAGGTGGTATCTTCATTATTGCTGCCAAATGAAGGTGGGATTCAGTGTTTTGTGTTCTTTTTTTTTTAAATTCACATTTTATTTAGAATGAAATAAACTATACAAAAATTGTTTTTCCTCACCAAAAATAACTGTAATATTTTCCTCTTTACTCACTCCTAGATAAACCACAAAATCCTAATTTGAAAGTTCTCCAGGCTAGGTTTACAAGTCAAGATGAGGCATGGAAAAACGCAGAATAAACACAAACAAGATCAGCTTTTTTGTGTGTGTTTGTGAGATTGGCTTCCAGTTCATAGAAGAGAATTTTTGATGTATACCTGTGAAAAGTTCATAAAACAGTTATTGTGGAGCCCCAACAGAGGAATGTAAACCACAACAATCACTCATTTATGAGGAACAACATTCATTTACATTCACTTGATGAAGTCAGAGTCGATATGAAAATATGTATGAGGTCATGCTTTGAGATAAGCTCTTCTCCACTATATCTTTTTACTGTCAATGGCACAACATTAAAAAAAAACACATATGGGAGTCAGTGGTCATTAGTAAGCTTCATTTTAGCTAAAATTTTTTTCCCATTTCTCCTCCCAATACTTTTTTTTAAACAATAACTAAGAAATGCAAAACCTGATAGTCGGATCCCTGGTAATCACAAATTATACATCCAGAATGAAGTTAACTAAAAATATCTACAGAGTGGTCGCTACCAGCAGAAATCACAAAGAAATGAAAGGTTATATTTCTACATTTTGGAAGGTCAATTTCCAAAGAATTTCAGTTCATGGAATAACAGTTTAACATAGAGATTAACAGTGCAAATGGAGACCCAAAGGCAAACTTATCTTCAATGATTAAGTGGCCTATCAATATCTCAGGACTTCTCTCCCAATCTCCAAAATGTAAATTCAGAAAGAGAAAACCAATTTTGGCCAATTTCCTTAAGTATTTTCAGTTATCTCTGAATTACTTGTGGGAAGAACTTCTTCTTGGAGGCCTAATTTACTCGTGTAGAGTTTGATGTAAGTATCTACCATTAAATCTAAGTCATGTTTTATATCGAAGTTTATGTTAAGCAAAGCCAAGTTACTCGAACGGTGTGCTGTCAAAGGATCCCTCAGGTATGCCTTAAGACATTTTCCACCATTTTCATACCTGTCATTCTCAACCTTCATCACTGGGAGTATACAGAGGACTTTAAGCAATGCGTAAACATTAGGAAAAAATTTGATGTCTGGCAGATGCAGAGCTTCATAAATTGTTGCTGGAAGCTCGATATCTTTTCCTCTGTGTTTCCATTTGATTCTCCAACCATGGAGTTCTGCAGAAAGTGTGTCTGGATTAGGAAGGTCACTTTTGTACACATCAGCATGGTGTTCCTCTGATGTATTAAATTTCAGCTGTCCCATGACAGAGGGTACTATAGACAAACATTTCAGTGCTTTGACGTGTTGTTCAGAGAAGATATCCTTTAGTTCAGGAATGATGTGCTCCACAGTTGGGACACTAAGTACCTCTTTGTAGTAGCTGTCAGACGTCACTTCAGGTTCCAGGTTAGCTTGCTGAGACCTGTGAAATTTTCCAGGAAGTTTAATTTCTATATCTAGCTTAGTCGCCAAATTTGTGGCTTCCTCAAACCAAAATTCATGACAAACTTCGATATTTTCCATCACTTCATTTAAAGAATGTAACACTGCTGTCAAACTGCTGACTGCAAAGAAGACATCAGAGGTCTGACCCTGGAGACTCTTCCCAAAGGCTTTTGTAAAAGAGAGTATGTTTTTTAGAACCAGACCCGTATCAATGAAATCAAAATCTACTAATGCACTACCAAGTACAAATCTTGGCCAGCAATAAAGTTATCCCATCTAACAGTTGTGTCACTGTTTATATTATCTAAACATAAAACAAGTGCTTGTAAAAGGTCCACTAAAATCTCAAAGGCATCATGCCTGCCTGTCCATTGAGAACAGCAAATCTCCTTTAGCCCATTCCCCTTCTCACTATTCTGAAAGAGGACAGAGATAACACTATCAAGTTCCACCAGCAACTGTGGTGACCGGTGGAAAAAAGAACAAACTTCTTCGATTATTCCCAAGGCAACAGATACTCCCACGGCAACAGATACTCCCACCACAGGAAGGGATTTTGCCAACCTTGTGTTTAAGGCACAGGAGGAACAGAGGTTGTAGACGGTTTGGAGATATTTCTCCAAAAGTCTCATGGCCACAACTCTCATCTGTGAAGAAAATCCACTGGAGACAACATAGGCCTGGCCCCCACAGTACTCCATATTCAGGCGCCATTTTTCAGTAATAGTGGTATGAAACTTAACAGCCAAAATTTCAGCTCTGGCTTCATAAGGAAGAAAACCTATAAATTCTTCTCTCAAGTTATGAGAGTCATCCACAAACTTGACTAACACTGGTAAGTGCTCTTCTCCAGCTATGTCCACTCCATCATCTGTAACAAAGGAAAAGAAGTGAGAATCCCGGACTTCCCTGAGCATCTCTTCTTGGATGCAGCTCTCACAGATCTCCAGCATTTGCTTTTGCTGGGTTTTAGAGCACAGCAGCATGTTAACTGCTGTTGTCTCAAAGCATTTCTGCAAAACCTCATCACCAGCATTAATTCTACACTCAAGCAGAGCTTGTTGGAAGTTATCTGTCATAAATAGGCCTTCTGGAATTTCATCAGTTTCATGGCCATCTAAGGATATATTTTGTTTACCCATAAGGATCAAGATTTCAAACAAAGATTTAAGGTAATCTTTGTTTTCCTTCTGTTCTAGTGTTAAAGGTAAGACTTCTTCATCCTGTTCTCCTCCTCCTTCTGCAACTGCATTTTGAGCACTAGTACTGTTATTCCTCTCCCAGAGAGCCATCTCATATAACAAATATGTCTTAAAGACAAAAAAGGAAAAAATAAGAGAAAAATCAGCACAACTCATCAGTACATTAAAAGTCTATGGGTATCATGCAATACTTATGAATTTCCAATATTTTTATAGAACTTTGGGCATAATTCCAAACTGTTCTCCAGAATGGTTGGACCAGTTCATCTACAATGCATTAGTGTCCATATTTTTTCACATCCTTTCCAGCATTTTGCATTTTCCAATCCTGTCATGTTAGCCAATCTGATAGGTGTGAGGTGGCATCTCAGAATTGTTTTAATTTGCACTTTTTAATAAGCAGCGATTATAGCATTTTATGTGATTATTGATACCTTTAATTTCTTCTAAAAGCTACCTTTGACTATCCTTTGACTATCAATTAGAAAATAGCTCTTATTTTTATAAATTTGGCATAATTCCCTATATATTTGAGAAATGAGGCCTTTCTCAAAGAAACTTGCTATAAAATTTTCCCTGTAATTTTCTGTTTCCATTCTAATTTTGCTGCACTAATTTTGTGTAAAAGCTTTTTAATTTCATGCAATCAAAATGATCCATTTTACTTCCCATGACCCTCTCTTTCTTAGTCATAGACATTTTCCTTTACAGATAGATCTGACGGATATTTTTTCCATGATCCCCTAATTCCCTTATGATATCACCCCTTCTATCTAAATTTTGTACCCATTTTGACCATATCTCGATATAAAATGTGAGATAATGGTCTATGCTTAGTTCTATCAAACTGCTTTCCAATTTCCCCAGAAGTTTTTGTTTAATAGTGAGTTCTTACCTCCCAAAGCTTGGATCTTTGGGTTTATCAAACACTAAATTATTGTGGTCATTTACTTCTGGATATTGTGTACCTAATATGTACTCCTAATTAACCATTCAATTTCTTATTTAGTACCAGATCATTTTGAATTTTACTGCTTCATAGTATAGTTAGTGAGCTGGTACTTCCAGATTAGGTTGCCTTCCTTCACATCTTTTTTCATTGATTCCCTTGATATTTTTGACCTTTTGTTCTTCCAGATGAATTTTGTTATTATTTTTTCTAGCTCTATAAAAATAATTCTTTGGTGGTATGATTGGTATGGCACTGAATAAGTAAAATAATTTAGGTAGTATTATCATTATTTTCCTATATTGGATCAGTCTTCTCATGAGCAATGAGCATATCTTTAATTGTTAAGATCTGTCTTTATGTGAAGTGTTTCATAGTTGAGCTCATATAGTTCCTGCATGTGTCTTGGCAGGTAGTCTCCCAAGTATTTTATGCTGCCTGCAGTTATTTTAAATGGAATTTCTTTATCTTTTCCTGCTGGGTTTTGTTGGTAATATATAGAAATGCTGGTTATTTATGTGGATTTATTTTATATGTCATAACGTTGCTGAAGTTCTTCAATGTTTCAAATTGCTTTTTTTAGTTAATTCGCTAGGGTTCTCTAAGTATAACATCATATCATCTACAAAAAATGAATACTTTGGCATCCTTGTTGCCTATAATTATTATTTCAATTTCTTTTTCTTGTCTTATTGCTATAGATAGCATATATAGCATAATATTGAATAATAAAGGTGATAATGGACGTCCTTGCTTCACTCCAGGCTTATTGGGAAAACTTCTAGTTTATCCCCAATATAGATAATGCTTGCTATTGGTTTTAGATAGATACTATTTATCATTTTAAGAAAAACTCCATTGATTCCTATGATTTTGAGTATTTTCAATAGGAGTGGATGTTGTATTTTTGTCAAAAGTTTTTTTCTGTATCTGTCCATTGAATCATATGATTTTTGTTTTTATCTTTGACATTGTCAATTATATTTATAGTTTTCTTAATGTTGAACCAGCCCTGCATTCCTAGTATAAACCTCACCTGGTAATAGTGTGTGTTATTTGTGATATATATTGCTGTAGTCTTCTTACTAGTATTTTATTTAAACTTTTTGCATCAATATTCACTAGGGAAGTTGGTTTACAGTTAATAGTATTGCTTTGACTGCATCTGTGAGTTTTAGTATGCTGTCTCATTGTTGTCATTCTCTTTAATGAAATAACTGATGGTTTCTATGATTTTTCCTTTGGCCCACTCATTCTTTAGGATTAGATTATTTAGTTTTCAATTAATACTTAATCTATGCTTTCAAAGCCCTTTATTGAATGAAATTTTTGTTGCATTATGGTCTGAAGGGGATTCATTTAATATTTCTGCTTTTCTACATTTGGTTTTGAGATTTTAATGCCCCAACACATGATAAATTTTTGTGAAAGTGCTATATACAACTGAGAAAAAGGTATACTCTTTTCTATTCCCATTCAATTTTATCCAGAGGTCTATTATATCTATCTTTTCTAAAATTCTGTTCATGTCCTTAACTTCTTTCTTTTTTATGGTTAGATTTATCTACATCTGAGAAGAGTAAATTGGGGCCCTCCCATTGAAATAGTTTTTTGTCTATACCCTCCTGTAATTCATTTATATTTTCCTTTAAGAATTTGGATGCTGTGCCATTTGGTGCATATGTTTAGTATTGATATTACTTTATTGTTTATAGTACTTTTTAACAAAATGTAGTTTTCCTGATTATTTTATTTTAATTAGGTTCATTTTTGCTTTTGCCTTGTCTGAGATCATGATTGCTAACCCTGCCTTTTTTTTTTTACTCCAGTTAAATCATAATAGATCTGTTCTAGCTCCATATTTTAGCTCAGTGAATTTCTTTCTTTTTCAAGTGTATTTCTCATAAACACCATATTGTTGAATTCTGGTTTCTAATTTGTTCTGTGATCTGCTCATGTTTTGTGGATGAGTTCACCCCAATCAAATTCACAGTTACAATTACTAACTGTGTATTTCCCTCCATTCTATTCTCTTCTGTTTATACTTCTTTTTTTCACCGTCTGTTCCCTAAAGTGTGTTTTGCTTCTGACCACTGCCTCCCTCAATCTGTTTTCTTTCTTATCACCCACTTTCCTTTACCCTCTTCCCCTCCTACTTGCTTGTTTATTGACATGGATTTCCATACCCAACTAAGTGTATATATTCTTGCTTCTTTGAACCATCTCAGTTCAAAGTGAGGTTTAAGTGTTGCCCTCAACTCTCCATTTCCCTCTCTGTCATAAAAACTCTTCCTTGCCTCCTTTATCCAAGATAATTTCCCCCATTCTTCTCCCTTTCCCTTTCTCCCAGTGCAACCCTCTTTTTTAGTCTAGAGAGATAATTCCAACATAATAGACTCATACCCTGTTTTCTATCTAAATAGACTCTTTTTAACTGCCCTAATGATGATAGAGTTCTTGGGGGTTATATGCATTATTTTCCTATTTGGGAATATGAATAATTTAACCTAATTAAGTTCTTCATGATTTGTAATTTGTGTTTACCTTTTTAGCCCTCTCATGAGTCATATTTAAATGTCAACTTTTCTATTCAGCTCTGGTATTTTCATCAAGAATTCTCAAAAGTTCACTATTTAATTGTGTCCATTTCCTTCTTCTCCCCCTATAGATTTATACCTAGTTTTGGTGGGCAGGTTATTTTTGGTGGTAATCCTGGCTCCTTTAACTTCTGGAATATCATATTCTAAGCTCTCCTCTCTTTTATATAGTAGCTGCCAAATCTTCTGTAATCCTGACTGAGACTCCATGGTATTTGAATGATTTCTTTCTAGGTGCTTTTAATACTTTCTCCTTGACTTGGGAGCTCTGGAATTTGACTTTAAAATTCCTGGGACTTCTAATTTTGGGATCTTTTTAAAGAGGTGAGTGATAGATTCTTTCAATTTCTTTTTTGCCTTCCCATTCTAAGATATCTGAGCAGTCTTCCTTTATAATTTGTTTGAAATATTATGTCTAGACTCTTCTTTTGATTATGACTTCCAGGTAGTCCAATAATTCTTAAATTATCTCTCCTCAGTCTATTTTACAGACAAACTGTTTTTCAAGTGAACTTATCTTCAGCATTCAAAATTTCTCCACTTGCTGTAACCAATGGTTCTATGTATGCATGGTATGGTTCTGGCTGGTGGAGAACCTCTGTTTTCTTGGTGTTGATTATCAGGCTAAAATTAGCACAAGTGGCAGAGAATCAATCCATACTCAGTCGTATCTCAGTCTCTGAGGCTGCATTGAATGCACAATCATCCACAAACAAAGAGTTGCACACCAAGTCTCTCTTCATTTTAGGTTTGGTCTGTAGATTTTCAAAGTTAAATAGTTTACCATCAGTATAGAAGCTAACCTTGATACTGTTTTCATCCTCATCGAAGGCATCTGACAATATCACAGAAAAATCCTAAAAATCATGGGAGCAGGCATAAAACCCTGCTTCACCCCATTGGTGACTGGGAAAGTATGAGAGTCTTATCCTTATCCAGAATCCATGCAAGCATGCCATCACAAAACTGATGTACAATACTAATGAACTTCTCTGGGCAATCAAATTTCACCATCATCTTCCACAAGCCCTCACCATGACAGTATCAAAGGCCTCAGTCAGGTCAGTGAACATTGTGTACAGACTTCTATTCTGTTCTTGGCATTTCTTCTGGAGTTGTTGGGCAGCAAACACCATGTGGACCTTTCCTTGACCCTTTCTGAAGTCACACTGGCTCTTGGGTAGATGATTGGGTGGAAGGGTCAATTGATTAAGGAGGACCCTGACAAGAATCTTGCTAACAATGACTAAGAGAGAGAGAGAAATTCTCCTGTGATTGTCACAGAACAATCTGTTTAACTTTCCTTTGTAGAGATGGACAGTGGAGGCATCCTTGATCTCCTGGGGGATAATCTCCTTTAGCCATGTAACCCAGAAGATTTCAGTCAGCTTCTATATGGGCAATTGACCTCCTGCCTTGTAGATCTCTGCTGAGATGGAATCATAGCCAGATCAAAAACTCCAAAGGGTTTACCAGCAGGACAGTTCTATCTGTCTCTAAGATGGAATTGTTTAACTCCTCAGAAATAAAGTACAAGTCATATA